AGGCGGTGGCCCTGCCCGCCCAGTTCTGCTCCAGACCTTGAGGCGAGGCCGTTGGGGCACACCCTCAGCACAGCCCTGTGGTTTGGGGTACCCGCTCAACTGCTGGGGGCCCCAACTCCAGGGGTTAGGCAGAGCTGGAGGCTCGGGGTCCATTTTACAGATGAGGAAACTGAGGCAGGGTCGGGGGAGCTGCCCAAGGTCAGGGAGATAGTAAGAACCAGGTCCCACCGGAGGCACCCTGTTGACAGCAAAGGTGACACTTAGGTGGGGGCGCCTGGTGGAAGCATGATTTGCCTGCCTAATGCCAACATGGATCTGGGGTGGAACCCACCATCAACACTCCTACTTTAGCTCCTGAGTCTGATCCAGCAAAGGAGGAGTTAGGCTGCCAGCCACCACCTGCCCCCACCCTGGGGGGCAGGGACCAGATCTTGCTCATCTCCTTGTCCCAGAGTAGGCACGCAATAGACATTTGCTGACTGGCTGAAAGCAGTTCAATCCTAGCTCTTCAGCCTGGCTTCTTAACTTCCTGTGCCCCAAGTGACCCTCTTAACTCCTTTATTGTTAATCCCAGGGCACTGCCAAGCATCTGTCCCCCTCCTTAGCATCTCCCCCCAATTGTGGCAAGCTGCCATCCCACCCACTCTGGGGTCCCAGTGTGTGAGGGACAGCAGAGGAAAGGGAAGATGTGGCACCTCCAGGCAGAAAACGGTGAGATCTGGCCTGAAGACCAGTGTGTCTGGGCGGGAAACACTGGGCAGCTCGCTCCTGGATGCTCTGCCTTGGCCACATCTTTCAGGACTGACTTTGAGGGGCTAGAACACTAAATAACTATAAACTCAGAGTGTTAGTACTTCCATTTCACAGATGAGGAAACTGAAGGAGGGTCCAGAGAGCTGCCCAAGGTCACAAAGCTAGTGAGCAAGAGCCAGGATCTGAACCTGTGGCCGTCGGATTCCTGGGTCATGTTCTCTCCTCTGCAGAGCAGCCTCCTGCTGCCAGGGCGGTTGGTCTCTGGTCCTCACCTCCTTCCCTGAGGGTACCGGTGTCCCTCTCTCAATCATCTGCACCCCACACAGGGATCCACTACCCCAGCCTCCACCCATCAGCATCCTTTCTTCAAGGAGACCGAGGTCTGAGCCTCCCCCTGAGCCCAAGAAGGATGAGGTCAGAGCACTACCGGGCTGGTGCAGATGCTAAATAATTCACGAGGCTGCCGGGAGCAGGGGCTGCAGCTTCCGGAAAGGCCTGGAGTACAGACAGCAGACAGGAAACCGTCTGGTCACCCGCCTGGGCCTGACTGCGACACATTCCCCAGGGCTAAAGAAAGTGCTAGGCTTTTGAGAGTGGGTTGGAGGGCTGACGGACCCTTACTAGCTGAGTGACCAGGGGCAAATCACTTAAGCTGTTTCTTGTTCTTCTAGGAGCTGAGGGGCCCTGAACAAGTGCGGGAACCCCATGTGTAAACTGAGTGCTGGGTGTGGCACTGGCGGGTCCTCGTCACCCCAGGGGTATTCATCATCCCCTGGCCCCAGTACGCCTTCCCACGAGCCCAGCATTCCACCCACCGGTGCCCCCCAGCACGCCAAGCAGCAGCAGGACTATGACAAGGGTGTCTCCCTCTCCCAGCCCATCCCTACCACATCCCCAGGCCTTGGGTTTGAGGAGGGTGCTGGTCTTGGGCTTTGCTGGTTTGAGAGGCCTGGTTTCCCCTCTTAGAATAAATCCCCAACCAAGAAAAAGGTTTGTTGGAATTCAACAGCCCTTGTTGGTCTAGAAGGCAGGGAGTTGGAGTCACAAATATGTATTATTAATCCCAGAAAAATGCTTAACGAACACACAGGGATTCAGTGGTAGTAATCCCTCACAAAGAGAGAATAAGGTTGTTTAATTCTGAGCACTTATGAAGTCCCAACTACTCTGCTTTGAGCTACACGGTTTGACAGAAATGGGTGTGGAATTTACCAAGGTGTTGGCCTGATGTTACCTGCAACAGGTTCTGGCCTGTTCTGGTTTCTTCCATTCCAGGTCTTTCTGCGAGGACACCTTCTTTGTCTTCTCCGCTTGGCCAAGGACCGGAGTAAGCAGGGCCACAGGGCATTCCTGAACCCGGGCAGGCCTGCCTCTTTTAGAAGCCCGTCCCTCCCCGAGCTTCACCGGCAGACCCCAGGGGACTCAGTTGATAAACAAACCCACATTCACTGCAGGCTGCTCCCTGAGGCTGCCTGGCACTGCCAGGACGCACGTGAGACTATCGCCTTGAAAAGCAAGATAGTGCCTTTATTCACTGAGAGGGATCTTGGGGCCACTGACCCAGATCAAGAGAAGTCTGAGGTGCACAAAGCTCCCCTCTTCCCTGCCATCAGAGGGAAGTAATACTCCTCCATTCATGGAACTGAGCGAGCCAGTCCAATGGATTGGTGAATGGTGGTGGTCATGGGCAGTCACATTCGAGTGTACAATCCTACTTCATCTGCAGGGCCTATTCACCCAATTTAGCTCTGGAAAAATACTCCAGTGACAAAGGCACAGACCGCTGGGGCAGGAGGGAAGCACTAGAGAGCTGTGGGTCTGACTACAGGATGACACAGAGTGACAGAGCCCAACCCACTGCCGTGGCTCTCATCCTTGCCCTCAGCTCGGCACCAGAGGTGATGCTGAGCTGAGGGCAGAGCTCCTGGGCACAACTAGGGAGGGTCCCCTTGGACCAGTCAGCTCTGTCTGGTGTCCGAGGGCAGGACAAAGCCAGGGAGACGAAGCTGTAGAATTTCCATTCGTCTGGAGCTGTGCACATCTCTATCCTTGGTGCCAGCATCATGCAGGTCCTGAGGATGCCCCCTACTTCCCTGGGTGGCGATCAGGACCCTCTGGAGCATGCCCCGGGTGAGGAGAGCAGTGCCAGCACATCAAGGTGCCCAAGGTGAGGTAGAAACCTATACATCTGCCTATCAGGAAATGGCACAATCTTTGGTCCTGGATGCCACACATCTAAGGGGCCTCCCCAAGTCCCACAAGTCTCCGTCCTGGGAGAGGCCTAGACTCCAATCCATCTGGTCCAGGACTCTCAACTGGTCCTTGAGAATACATCCCAAACCCCCACCATGTGTCTTGATGGGACCCAGTTCATTGAAGGTGGGGAAGGTGTGGGGTCATAGTACAAAGGGGCACGAAAGTGAAGCACCAAAGGGGCTCAGATCCAGGATCACAGGCCATGAAGAGAAGCAGTCTCTGTCCAGGCCTCAAGAGAGCTCTGCCCCAGCTCAGTGGCCTCCCATGGTCCAGGTGGTGGCAGGAGGCCTTGGTGAGAAGGGCAAGGGCCAACTTCTGCCATGCCTTGGCTCCAAAGACTCATGGAGGAGATTCTCCCAGGTGCAGAGCAGGACAAGCTGATGCTGGATACCCTGGAAGGCCTATGGTGTGACGACAGGGGCCCCTGAGGACGGCCATCTGGAGAACCACAGCATAAGGACACAGGGACTGTGATTTGGGGAGAGGGTTCAAGAGGGGGATGGAGGCAGGCTGGGGGGTCTGCAGACAGCTCCTTGTGGCCTCAGTCACTTGAGGACCAGAAGAGGCTGGGCTGGGTAGCGAGGGGTTGGCCAGCGAGGGGTTGGCCATGAAGCCCCAGCCGCACGCCTCAGGGTTTCACAGGGCCTCCCTCTTGGTCCACTGCTCCAGTTCCGTGGCCTCTGGTCCCTCCTAGCTCCAATGACAAGGGCAGGAAAGGTGCTGCGTGGGCCCTGCTCAGCCTGGACACAGAAGAATGAGGACATCAGGGCGACGTGCCGTCCAGGGAAGAGGGCGTCTACCATCTCATGTTATTTTGTGGGGACTGAGCCTAAAGTAACCAGAAAGAACAAGAGTCAAAGGGGACCCTACCGCTTGGGGCCCAAGCACTGGTTTTTACTAAAAAAAGGGTTTTGATTCCCCAGGGGGGCTGGTGCAAACTGACATAGAAGGAAAAGTTTGGGAGAAGTTTGATTTTTTTCTTCCGGCAACCTTTCTCTCCCTTCCAACAGAAACATTTTTTTTCCTACTACCGGTGTCAGAAAATAGTTTCTGGCTGGTTGGGGAGAAACATTCCCAAGCCTGGGAGGGGCGGAAAGCCTGAGCCACTGTCCAAGGGTCAGGATACTGCTGCTCGTCCAAGCCCAGGCCACTGCAAGTCACAGTCTTGAGAAAACCTGGCTCGTCCTGGTGTGGCCCCTTCGAGGCTGTGTAGCCTCTCTGGTCAGTTTGCTTAGTTGTAAGAGGGGGCAGGAGGGCTATAGAACTAAGTTACGCCCAAGGCCCCGTCTAATCCTAAAATGGTAGGGTTCTGGAATTCTGACTCTGGAAAGGGGAGAGAATACTGGTCCTGCCCACCTTTTGGGGCAGCCACGAGGATTAAAATGAGCTGATGTGGACAGGCTCTATTTACTCCATAGGACGAGCAAATGGGCATTTTAATTCCTGGCCAGGAGTGAAACCAAGCAGAACTTTTCCACCTTTGTAAACAAGTCCCGGTCCTCAGATCCCTTCTCTCTTCCACATATGCACAGCGTGATCTAATAGCACAGCCGTCTCGTCCCCTGAAGGATCTTAACCACCGTGCCCGCTGAGAGGGGCTGAAGTTCACCGATCTCCCTTATACACACCCACTCCACAGAACTGCCTGCTGGTGGGCCTGCCTTCCCTGCTCCGTCTCCACATATGGCCAGTAGAGGGGGGTCCCAGAGGAAAGCTGCCTGGTTTCAGACGAGCCCAAATGCTGGACTAAACCCTAGACAGGAGCCGGGCCCAGAAGTTCATTCCGATCACGACACGGACACAGGCTCAGCTGAAGAATCTTTCCCTGGGTAGAGGCATCAGCTACTCGATTGATGGAAGGAAAACTCAGCAGCAGCTTTCAACGTGAGCTGGATATGGAGGGCAGAGGAGAAAGGAACCACCCACAGGCCACGGTGGAGGAGCCGTTCATCGGAAACCGAGAACCCGGGTCAGAAACGACATCCCAGAGGAAGGGTTAATAAAGCAGAAATGTGTTTATTAGGCACCCATGTTCCTCACAGAGGAGCAAGACCCAGGACAGACGCGCCTGCAAAATCGCTCGAGGTTGCAGGAATCTCTCCAAAGACTCCAGAGAATGTAGGCACTGACCGGCCGCCACCCCAAGAACACTATTTGGCTGGAGCATGACCGCCAGAGGTGACCCTGGCATGAAGTTGGGGTTGGCTCCTGGATTCCACAAACACTGAGGAGGGGGTGGGGGACACCCAGGACATCCACCCAAACATTGGCAGACAGGGAGGCATCATGGCGGAGGCACAAGCTGCCCCAAGCCAGCGAGGGGGCAGGGGGGAGAGCACGGGGCTCCTGGGGAGTCTCTCGCCAGGTCCTGAGGGCCCTCCCCAAGTTGCCAGCCTCCTGGCGCTGACTCAGTCCCACACGTAGGGGTTTCTAAAGACCTGAGAGTTCTTGCCATCTTTCTGCGGAGTGGCGGCCTGGTGGCTCTGGGCCGTATACATGTCTTCAGCCCGCAGGGTCGAGTTGGCACTGCCCATCACCTGGCTGTTGGCGGTGGCCCGCGGGAGGATGACATCGTAAGCTCCTTCGGACTGGAAGGAAGAACAGGCGGTCTCACAGCCAGGTTCCGCCAGGGCAGATGCACAAACACTCTGCTTCCTGCAGGGCTGTGCCTGCCAGCTCCCCCCTTCCCTGTCCCCCAAGCTGGGCCCCAGTGGAGGCCTGGGATGGATGACTCCACCTCTGGAAACGGAGGGGCTGACCTCTGACCTCGAGCCCCTTATCTCATCCGGCAGAGGGCCAGGCCTCTATGTATGGGGACGAGGCCCCTGGTCACCTCCGATGGTCCTGGGGCTTCACAGAGAGGCTGGCCCTTTTCAGAAGGATCCTCTTCTCAAGCCCCCTCCTGCTCCCAATTCCTTAGGGAAACCTTGGGGCCCAGTGGAGGATAAACCACACTGAGCTGGTCTCACCTGTCTGGGGCTCCCAGGCTCCCTTCCTCCAAGACTCTGATCGGAGTCCCAGGGCCACTACAGCACCAATTGCATCACAGCTGCTGGTGTGCCTGGCTGAGGACACCCTTCTGTCAGGCCCTGGGTGTACGCACACCTTCCTTATCTCGGAGTCTGGGCTGGCCAGTTTGATTTGGAGACTTAAAACCCAAATGGGTTCTAAGAGTTTGAGAGTTTAAGTTTTGGAGGCTTAAACCCTGAATTCTCTGCCTGGAACCTGGTTAGAGCTGCAGTGATCTTGTTCCTCGTGGGTGAGAGACGCAGGTTGCGGGATGCAAAGGGTCTTGAGGCACCAGCTCCCACCCTGGAGGAAAGGCGAACTCCTGGCCCCACCTGCCTTATCCCCAGGGACAGAGCTGCCACCAAACCCTGCAGTTCAAGGGCCCCAGGCCACCTCCGGTCAATTCAGATCCGGGTGGTGCCCCCTCCCCCTGTAGCTCCTGGAACATCTAGATGGTGGTTCTCAAACCTGGGTGTGCATCAGAATCACCTTGACTGTTAGTTAAGCCACACCCACACCTAGCCGAGCCACACCCAGTGACAGGCTGGTAAATGCTGAACTTAAGGTGGAGAGGGAGGGAGACGCGATCTGGAGTGTGTGCAGATTTCCCTGGGTGGTTACTCCCATCGTGGCAGATTCCAAGTTATCAAGGTGACATCACTGAAGAGATGCTAATAACGGGCTCCCATCACACCAAGGACCCCACCTGATTTGCATTTCTAGCAAGTTCCAGGTGACGGTAATGCTGGGAGTCTGGGGACCACCTTTTGAGAACCACTGTATTAGATAAACCATCCATTAGTTAGCAGGACTCAATGGACACAGGTGAGTGAGGGGTAGCAAGACTCTGCTCATGGCCTTCAGAGACTCCTGCCCATCCCAGCCTCTGGCCATGGCCTGCTCTCCATGGCCTGGCCACAGGTTCAGGCTTAGGGAGAGGGAAGGGGCTAGAGTTGGACATTTAAGATGCATTTGCTTCACCCTGCCCCCCAGGCTCACAGCAGGGAGGGGGATGGGAACACCACCCTGCTGACCTCCCTCCTTCCTGTTCCCAGCTTCCTGCCAAGGAGGGTCACTGACCCCTCCCCGCAGAGGCTGCCAGCTGGGGAGGAGGAACATACATGGAGTGAGTGAATCTAACCCACCATCTTCCTGTTCCCACCCCCCATCCCCTTGGCTAATGGTTTCCAGAACCCAGGGGAGGTATAAGGTCGAGAGCTGCTGCCTGCTGGTGGGGGAGAGGAGCCGAGGCCCTCTTGGGGCAGCTGTGATTGGGGAGTAAATGCCTACCCAGCCCTGCCATTTGGTCCTCTGTCCTTTGGGGGACCCCAAGAATGACGCCTACCTGGCTGAGGCCCTCCTGTCCCTCCCTAAGCTTCTTAGGTAAAGCCTGGCAGCTCCCACCAGCTCAACGAGAGCCCGCTCTGCATTCTCCACCCCATGGGGCCCCATCAGTGTGTGATGCCCCAAAGACACGGGGCAGGTCCCACTGCAGCACAGCTGAAGGCAGTGGATACATCCACGCCAGGAAAGGGGTATTAGGAGCAGGGCTCTGGGCTGACTGAGGCTGACGTACCAGGTGGAGATGCCTGCCTTCGCCCTACCCCCTCTAGCCCACCCTGCACCAGCCACATGGCCCTCTCCACTCACCCACTGAGGCTGGGCTCCGTGGCCTACACTCACCGGGCCTTTGTGCATCAGGGCCATCTCGGTGGGCTGGTACACACTGGTCAGCAGCTGCCCATTGTACCCGCTGTACGGTGACACCGGTCTCTTAGCTGCAAGAAAACGCGGGAGCGGTGTGAGGCCTGGGATCTCAGCTCCCTCTCCCCTGCTTAAGCAAGGCTTCCCTGGAGACAGGGACAGGGACAGGGAGAGGGAGAGGGGGCTAGGCCGGCCCTGGGGTAACATCTAACCCAGGGAGGGAGCCAGGCCAGGGGCAGCCAGCTTGGGAGCGAGGACGTAGGTGTGAGGGCCCCTCTGGAGCCCAGCACCCCTTCGTTCAGATACACAGAGAGCACAACCCTGCTTGCCTTCCCCTCAGGCTTTCCTGCAGTTCGGGGACCGCCCCCCCCAGCCCCAGCTCAGAAAAATGCCCCCGTCAGCAACCTTCACATCCCCATCCGCTCTCTGGGGCCAGAGGCCAAGAGGGGCACATGGGCCTTCGGCCACCTTCCAAGATGGCCAGCCTCCAGCGCTGGCCTCTACCGCTGTGGGCCCACTGCCAGGCGCTGGAGTCCATGTAGTGGAGACCCCACAGCCCAAGACTCCTCTCGTCTTCAGGGGGCAGAGCTGGGTGCTGATTCCGCAGGACGCGCCCAGCCAGAGCCCCGCCAGGGGGCCGAACGCACATCCTGAGCTGTGGCCCCTTGGCAACTGTCCAGAACTATTTTCCGCTCCAGGAATACTTTCTCCTGCCTTCGGGCATGTAGGTTTCCCGATCTGTTCCACCCTGCTGGACGCTTCCAGGGAGTTTGAGGAAAGCTGCTGACTAACCCCTGGGGCCTGCGAGCCGGATGGGCCGTGAGGTCAGGCCCTGCGGATGTCTGTCTGCTGCAGGCTGATGGCCCCACAGCTCTGAGGGACCACGACTATATAGGGCTTCCTAAGTGCTGCACTCACTCGATTGATTTTTCCATTTAGAAAAAAAATAAAAAGAAAAAAATCCTCAGAGCCCCAGAAGTGTTTGCCTCGAGAGGACAAAGGCCGAGGACTGTGTGGCCCTGACCAACAGGCCTGGGGTCAGGGCAGAGGTGGGGGCGGCCGAAGCTCCTCCCAACACTTATCCACAAGCCCTCTCTCCCGTGGCTTCGTCAATGCCCCGGGGTCCCACGAAAACTCAACTGGCCCTACTGTGCGCGTGCCTAGGGCCCCCGCCCCGGGGGGGACCACTCAGATCAAAGATCGAGGGCCCGGCAGGACAGGGTCCCTCCTTTCCCCAAAGCAGAGATCACGGGGGTCTCAGTTTGTAGAGAAGAGGCAGGGAGTTCTCTGATTCTGAAACTTCCTCTGCCTCTGCCTCTGGCCTCCGACAGAGGCCCCAGAGCCGGGGCTTAATAATCAGGCAGTTAAGTCTTAAGCCCCCAGATATCTTGATCAGCAGTCTGGGGTCAGGGTCAGGGCAGTGAGATTGAGCTTCCGGCTTCCCCGGTCATGTCACTTGAAGGGGCTGTCGCCAGCAGGCTGCGAAAGCAAGCGAGATGCACGCGACAGGATACATCAGGAAAGCAGAGAGTAGGTGCTAAATAAATGCAAGGGGTCCCCACATTTCACAAACGCCAGAGAAATACTCCTTTCTTCGGGAGCTGGGAGCTTGTCTGGCCAAGTCTCCCGGAGAAAGGCCACCCATCCCCTACTCCTCGCCTCCCAAGCTGCTCCCCAGAGTGGGGCTGGGCTAAGGCTGCAAAGCTTCAACCCCTTCCTGCCTCTCCCACCTCCAGGCGCCCTCAGCTCCACCCACCAAGGCTCTGCGGCTGGCTGGAACCTCCAGCGCTGGCTCCTAAGAAAGAGCCGGGGCAGGAGCTTGGGGATAAGCCAGCTGGACCGTGGGTGCTCCTTAGATCGGTATGTGGCACGAGCGCTTTTATTAAAAAGAACAAAATTTTAACTGAAAAGACTTTTAAAGGAAACTAAGACAACTATGGCTATGTACATAATAGAAAAGCAAGTTCTGGAATGATAATAATACCAGTAAAATAATAGTAATACAGACGGCTAACAGCTGATACTTCCAGAGTACTTCCAAGTGCCAGGCACATGTACGAATTTAATCCTCACAAGAATCCTATGAAGCAGGATCCATTATTAGCCCCATTTTACAAATGAGGAAACTGAGGCACATGGAGGGAAAATACCAATCAACAGTGATCGGTCCCGAGGATGGAACAGGAAGGAATGGGGTAGATGTGGGGAGATGGTGGGAGAAATTTTGTTTTATCCGTAATGTTTGAAATTTTACAGTGAAAGTAGGTTCATAAATTACATGAGTATAGGAAAAATATCTTTTTAAAAACAGAATTTAGGAACTTTAGGGCAGAAAGCTATAGGTAATCTTGAGTACATTCCATTTTGCTTGAGACCAGTCCCCTGTCCTGCAGTAAATGACATGGAATAAAAGAAGGGGACGTGGGGAGGGTGTCCTGCGACCTACCTGAGGCTGGCTCGTCCATGGAAAACGCCTTGTTCTCCACGAACATGCTCTGGCCCTTCTGCTCCTTCAGGATGGTCTCGTAGCCCACACCCCGCGTGGGGTACATGTCCCCCTGGTAGCTTTGCTCCGGGCTGGGCTTGGTCACCTGGGAGATCTCAGGGATTACGTAGAAGAGGACAAAGGCCCAGGCATTGGCAGCGAGGGCAATGGCCAGGGTGGGGTCATCCCAGGTGGGGCTGTTGTGCTGCTTGTTGCCGTAGGTATACATGACAATCCACACTACCCAGATGGCGATGGAGGTGGCCGTGGTGAGCAGCACAAAGACCCCGTGCTTACGCCAGCGCTTGAAGCGGCCACACAGGGCAGGCCAGGCCCCCAGGAAGGCGCCCAGCAGCAGCAGCATGACATAGATGAGCGCCATGACAAAGTCCATGTTGGCGATGGCACAGGAGGAGGCCACGGCCCAGCCAGCACTGCCGTTGCCCAGGTTGCCCGCCTCGCCACCTCCCCGGACCAGCGTAATGATCAGCCACTCCATGTTGATGATGACCTCCACAAGGGTCAGCAGCAGAGCCATGGTGAAGATCACCCAGCCCCGGGGCCCATGGTTCTTCCGGGCCAGGAGGTTGAGGGCAAAGACGTGGGCCACGAGGCAGGAGAAACAGATGGCGAATAGGACCCCAAAGAGGAACTGCCGAGACGCACAGGTGGAGAAGTCGGGCTTCACCACGCAGGCAAAGACGAGGCAGAAGAGACCCAGGGTCCCCAGCAGGAAGAACACCTGGGTCCCCAGAAGGCTCCGCTTCTTGGTATCCTGCACAAAGGGGAGGCTGGCCACGAGGATGATGGTGAGGACAAAAGTGGTGACAATGCCCGCACCAGCCACTGCCTCCAAGATGATGCCCCAAGCCCCGGAGCGGTCACACAGGTTGTAGTAGAGGGGGTTGAGGTCCGGGCTGCAGCCAGGTGGGGCGTGGTTCTGGGCCTGGGCCCCTGGGAATAGGAAGAGGGGCAGCCCCAGGCACGTCAGCAAGGCTTTGTGGATGGCCATCCCGGCTCCCAGGCCAGGCTCCAGCTGGATCCCTAGAGACACAGGAAGAAAAGACAAAATCAGTCCTCCAAGGCCAGACTCTGCCACATGAAGTGCTGCTTCCCCTATCCTGAATCAGGGCAGACGGGACTGACCCTCTGGGCTTCAGAATCCTTCTTAACACAGAACTCCTGTAAGTCATTATTAATTGACTAGAGAGGCAAATGAGATGAAGCCCATTTGTCATCCCTGTTCCAGGTCATGGAAAAGGAAACTGTCACTGAATTTTCAGGTCCCTCCCCGCCACCAACCACAATTGGGTCCAAATATTCCCTGAGCTCTCGAAGCTAGGGGGCAGCGGGGTAAGAGGGTCTGTGAGCAAGTCAAAACTAAGCATGCCACCCATTCGCTGCCACAGTTCAAAAGGCCAGATACTGTGCCCCTCAACCCTGTCCCAGTGACGCCCGAGCCCATGGGGAATCAGCCATGCTTTCATTCATTCCTTCAACAAGAGTTTAACAAACACCTGCGACAGGCAGACCCTGCCGCCAGAAACAACGAAGGGACAGTTCAAAGGTTGTATCTGTCAACACTTTCCTGATTCCTCCCACCGCCTCCCTTTTGTGCCTTCATTTCCCCACTTTTAGTGCCAACCCTCCTCTTCAGAATCCAAGGTGCTTTGTCTAGCTCAGTTGCTGGAGTCAGGAATAAAATAAACGGATTTCCCAGCTAGGGAGTTAACAACTTAATGCAAAAAGTCTCCAATGAGGCATTAACGTTTTAAAAGCAAGAACCGGGGCGGCACGGTGGCATAGTGGTTAAGTTCGCATGCTCCACGGGTTCGGATCACAGGCGCGGACATACGCGCCACTTATCAAGCCATGCTGTGGTGGAGTCTCACATACAAAATAGAGGCAGATGGGCACGGAGGTTAGCCCAGGGCCAATCTTCCTCAGCAAAAAGGGGAGGATCAGCAACAGATGTTAGCTCAGGGCTAATCTTCCTCACCAAGAAATAATAATAATAGTAAATAAATAAATAAATAAATAAATAAATAAATAAATAAAAGCAAGAACCAGGCAAGGGCAAGGCAAAACCCAAAGGAATTAATCGCTAAAAGAGGCCTTGAAGGCATCGTAGCTCGTAGCTCGGAGGTGGGGGTGGGGGTGGAGGGTGCAGGAGAGAGATCTTTATTCACACCAGGAAGGTACTCATTACTCCAGGTCCTCATCTGACCAGTCCCGACCAGTCCCGACCAGTCCTGACCAGTCCCAACAGCAACTCTACCTGTGCTGTAGGCCACTACCAGAAACCACACCCCTCTTCTCCACACCAACTGGATTTCCCCCGGGGAAGTGGAGGTAAAGAATTCGGCAGGTCAAGAGAAATTAAGGACCAAATCAGTGAGTTTTCCAATCAAAGACTAAATTACTTGGAAAACAGAAAATTTAAATGCTCTAAAAAGCAAGTTACAAATTCCAAAATTCTATGAAATGGGAGTACTCTCCATTTAAATTATCCCTTAGGTTCAAGTGACTGGTTGTAACCCCGCCTCATCCTCCCTCACCTCTTGGGCCCAGGAACTCTCTGGAAAGAGCAACCAAGCTTTCCTGGGCTGAAAGTGACCACTAGTGGCCGGCAGGGGAATGGCATGATCCGACTCCACCCTCCCCACCACCTTTCTTCCTCCTTTTTAGGGGGACATTTGCACAGTTTACCCCCTTATGTTTTCACCATTCCCAGTAACAATTTCTTTTTTTTTTTTTAAGATTTTTATTTATTTATTTATTTTTTCCCCCAAAGCCCCAGTAGATAGTTGTATGTTATAGCTGCACATCCTTCTAGTTGTTGTACGTGGGACACGGCCTCAGCACGGCCGGAGAAGCGATGCGTCGGTGCGCACCCGGGATCCGAACCCGGGCCACCAGCAGTGGAGTGCATGCACTTATCCGCTAAGCCACGGGGCCGGCCCCCCAGTAACTTAATTTCTAACAGGCAGACAAAATTCCGAAATCTCAGTCAATAGAAACTGTCTCTCCATAATTGATAAGCAGAAGGGCCCAGCTACCGAATCAGGAGAAATGAAATTCATAAATCAAGTGAAATTGACAATTTCAAGAAATGAAGGGGCAGGCCCGGTGGCGCAAGGGGTGAAGTTCGTGCACTCCGCTGCGGCGGCCTGGGGTTTGCGGGTTCGGATCCTGGGCGCTCACCGACGCACAGCTTGTCAAGCCATGCTGTGGCGGCATCCCATATAAAGTGGAGGAAGATGGGCATGGATGTTAGCCCAGGGTCAGTCTTCCTCAGCAAGAAGAGGATTGGCAGATGTTAGCTCAGGGCTGATCTTCCTCACACACACACAAAAAAAGATGGCATAAATAAAAGCCCTGAGATGAGGTCAAGGTCAGAGCAAGAGAAAAAAAATCAAGTTCACCGAGTATGAACTGAGTTAGCAAAGGGAGGTTGCGACTGGCCGGCGACAGATTAGAAATGCTACAGGGAAGGAGTTTGGGGCATTTTTCTAAAGGCAACGGGGAGGCACTGAAGGCTGTTTTTAGCATGATGGGGGCATAACCAGGTTGTGCTTTAAGATTTGAGTCTGGCAAAAAGCATTGGCAATTGATTTGTTGAGAACACATTCATCCTGGTTTAAAGATAGAGGCCAAAGGTAAGGCATAATGGCCAGATCCAAGAAATCCTTTCCAAAATAAAATCTCAGGCCTGGTTGAAGGTGAAGGGAAAAGATGCTACAAGTTCAAATTTGATAACGGCCATATCATTTCAAAACACCAAGCCAGGTCCCATTTAGCCCTGCAACCCCTCTGTCACTCATTCTGGATCCATCTTGCTCTTAGAAATACATGCCTATACCTTGCCAGAATCCAGCGCCTCACAGGCACTTGGGCCAGGTCCACAGAAGCTTCACAGCTCTCACCCCAATTTCCTCCTAACTTTGCTATTGGTCCTGGACCTCACCCTTCAAGTCTTGCCTCTGTCTGCCCCACCAACATGAGAACTTCCAAGGAAGGAAACAGGAACCCGTACCTGCCCCTCCTCCCCATCCAGGTACCATCCTGCCCAGCGGCCCTGAAACTTACCAGCCCCAGACGAAACAAACCTTTCCCACCCTGAAGTGCCTCATTACTTCCATTCCGCGGAAAATGGAAGGGCTAGTGGGGAGACAGGAATACACCAACTCAAGTGGGGAAATTGGGCCAGGTGGGGCTGGCTCTCGACCACAGCTTAGAACAGCGACCCCTGGAGGCCAGCAAGATACTTAAAGCGAAGGAAGCTCATAAGAGCTCAGCTCCGGTCCCTCCATCTCGAGGAGTGCAGATTCAGCCAGTCCCCTCATGCTACCGTTTAAGGGGGTGGCAAAGGGGAAAGGACTTTCATGCAATGGACCCAGCTCTATCTGGAGACTCTCCCTCCTGCGGGTCCCTGGAGACTTTACTTCCAGGCTGAGTCTCCTGAGATCGTTAGAATCGTGTGTGTGCGTGTTTCCCTGACCAGGCTGTAAGGTCTGAGGGTAGTGAACAAGACTTGTTTGTGTTAGTGTCCCTGCAGCATCTAGCACCATGCTCGAACACAGTAGGCGTTCGAAAATGATTTGCTGAATGGACTGGATGTCCATTCCACCCCAATCCCACTCCTGCCTCCTTCATTTTGGAGTAATGTCTTCTGCTTTAAGGTTCTCAGTGGGACCAAGGAGGGGAGAGGGAGGGGGACCTCCTCCTGCCCCATGAGTTTCCCCCACACCACGGCTGCAGTCCAGCCCAGCCTCAGATTATTTTCTAGACAAAGGGGCCCTTTTGCCTCACCTCCCTGGAATCAGTAATACAAATATTTTTAATCACCTCTGAAATCGGCCTTTCCCCAGGCTCAGCCACTCAGCCCCCAGCTCTGGTCTGAGTCAGCCCAATCCAGTTCCAGAATCCCCTTCCTCCCTCTCTCCCTCTCCAGGGGGAGCAGAGAGGCCTCAGCAGTGCAGTGGGCTGGGAGGCCCAGCCAGCCACAACTAGCTCCACCCAGCAAGGATGAGGCAGCCAGGCCCCCTCACCTTTCCGGAGCAACCCCCTTCCTCACCCCCCACCATCCACACAAGCGGCTGAGAACCCCAAGGCACAGGACACCATCCTGAAGAGAAAGCACCAAGGGCTTCACATCGCCGCCCGGGTCTGTCTCCCAAGCTCAAGAGTAAGATGTAGCCCCACAGCCAGTGGTTACCTTCACGGGTGCCACGACCCTTGCAAGCCCCCTCTCGGAGGCACCCAAGCTCACCCAGGGATAACACAGAGCATCTGCCACCACTCTGCAGCCAATCAGGAGAGATGGATGGACCCACTGACAGCCTTCCCACCTCCTCCCCTTCTCCCATCCATCTCCTCCTTTCTCTCCATCCCTGGCTGAGTCCTGTCATCTTACTCCTCTGTCCAGGGGGCTCTGGTGTATAAATCAACCAATAAGAAGAGGGACCCGAGATGCCTGTGCCTGTAAAGAGCTACCTCTCTTTGAGGTACCCAGGTTGGGGGTCTCCTGGAACCCCAGCCTAGAACCCCACACTGAGTGTGGGTACTTGGGCCAAAATTCCCTGAGCATTCCGAAACTTGGAAGTCCTCAATCTAAGGGTCTGCTCTGGAATGCCACTCCGGAATGCGCCCCACCCCCCAACAGCACTCCCTCGCCCAGCCACTAACGAGGCACATAGGAGGAACCTTCAGGAGCACAAAACCCTATTTCAACATATTCTGGTTCCCCTGCTTCGGGATCAAGATCGTGAAATTTTTTAATGATTGGGTTTTCTTGGGTGTAAAACTGAGGGTGTGGGACGCAGGGGCGCTACCCAACCTCTATGGCTGCAAAGGGCCCTGGAAAAACCATGCGGTGGCGCGGGGGGAGGGGGGAGGTGGTGGTCTAGAAGCCAAGCTTGCAGAAGTAGAGGTTCTTTGATGGTCTGAAATTCCAAACTTCCCGCAGGAGGGCTCTGAGTCCTCTCCTCCGCACTCCTCTCCCCACTCCTAGGGTCTACATCAGCGTTCGCCTGGCGTCGGAACAGAAAGAGCCCGGGAGCCAGCCTCTCTCCTCCATCTCCGCTGGCCACAGAAACCTGCCCTCCTCACGCCCCCGCATTAGAGAGGAGGCCGGCCCACTAGTCACTGTTGACCGTGGACTCGCGCAGAGAGGCAGTGGGAGTGGAGGGGGCACCCCTTGGGGACCCCGATTGTGGAGTTCTTCCCCCGACCCCCACTCCGGGCCGCAGTGCCGGGCTTTCCCTACCCCCAGTCCCCAGGCTGCTCTGGTTTGGAAACTTTCTGCCACCGAGCGGAGTTGGCGAGGCGAACCTCCCCCCTACGGTTCTCCACCCCCCGGCCTCTGTCCTCACCCACCACCCGCCAGCCCGACCCGACTCTTCCGGGCGGGCGAGGGGAGGGCGGAGCGGAAGGCAGCAACCCTTACCTGGGACGCGCCGCCGGCCCGGCTCCGGCTCGGCGTTTGGGGCCAACTCCAGCCCCTGGCGGGGCGCGGGCGGGGTGAGAGGGACTGGGCGCAGGGCGCGGGGCGCGGGGCCAGGCCCAGCCCTGGCCTGGGGTGGCGGGTCCGGGCGGGGGCTCAGGGCGCAGGGCCTGCCTCTCCCTGGGACCCTGGCTAAGCTGGCCGCGCTCGGTCGCTCGCTCTCGCGCTGGCCTCCCGGTGCTCGGCTCCTTTCTCTCGGCGAGGGTGGGCCGGCGCCTGCCTCACCGTGACATCACCTCCATTCAGGCGCTTATCGGGCGCCCGCAGCGCTCCAGGTACGTGCAGTCCGTTTACACAGTAACAAAGCCCGCCCGGCGCTCCCCCTCCGACTCACCTCCAGGCTCCGGCGAGTCGCTCTTTCCGGCCGGGGAGGGAGATCGGAGTTTCTGGCGAAGCTGGCGTGTGGGTTGTTGCTGTTTACTGCCACGCCCCCGCACGCGGGCGCGCGCACACTCACGCGCACTCACTTTCTGGACCTGGCTTTCTCTCCGGAAAGCGGTTTGGGGTGCACCGCAGCACACCTCGCTGGCGGGCTCTCCCTCCCCGCATGTCCCAGCGCGCGCTCACAGACACGCGCGGGGACCACCTTGGTGCGTCTCTCCGAGGCAGACACCTAGCCTTTGTCACCTTCGTCCTGGCTCTCCTGTGAGACACACGCCAGGCACAGTTGGCTGCTCGGGGCTGGAGCGAGGCGCACACTCAGTCACGCCTTCTGCGCCCCCTCCCCTCCCCGAGCTTGCACACGTGGACACACCACACACTGAGTGTCCACCTCTTGCATCCGCGGCCCTTCCCGGGCATACGGGTCTCCAAGTGTGCGTGGGAACGCCACCGGGCGCGCCCCTAACACCGTGGGCCGAGCCCAGAACCACTCAGGACCGCGGGCAAACTTCGCCCCGGCCCGACTACCCCGCGCCCGGGTTTCCTGCTACGGCTCCAGACACGGTCCAACTCAACGCGCGCTCCCCTCCCCGCGTCCCGGTTCCCTGTTCCGACTTGTCCTAATTAGCCTTCACAGTTCTGTTCCCCGGGGTACAATGGGTTTAACCCGGCCCCCGCTGTCTCTGCGCTCCGGGACGCGTCAGCCCTGACTGCGAGTCCTGCTGCTCCCGCCGCCCCGGCTCTTTTCCACGAGTTCGGGGGCCCCTCCCCGCCCCTCTCCGCGCCCCACCCCACTGCCTGCCCAGGGGTGGATCAGCGGGCTGCCACACTTTCCTCTCCCGCCCCAGGAATCAGCAGAGAGGGAAGCGCAGAAAGGGGGAAGCGAATCCAGGCTGGGGCCTCCCGGGCCCAGTAAACAAGAGATTTTATGGCCGCCTTCCCCCGGGGCTACGGGCTCTGCAGGAGGTGGGCTGTGCAGTCCCGGGGCGCCCAGCGGGGCCTAGTTAGCAAGCGCAGGAGGCCCGGAGGGGCCCCGCGCACTGAGAAGGGAGAGGTTGTTGGGCCTGGCTGGAGCCCAGGGGACGCGGGGGGAGGGCAGGGCTCCGGGTCTCCGGGGTGCTGGTTCCCGTGACGCGGAGTTGCCTGAGGGATCGCCAGCAGCGCGCGGTCGGAGCCAGCCGGTGGCGGGGCGGGCGGTGGGGCGTGTTTGCTCAGCCCGGAGCGCCTGGCATGGGGGGGAGGGGAGGCAGCTGGTCACGGGCTAGGGGGTAGCAAGGGGATTGCGGGGGCAGGGAAAGGGGAGAGGTACCTCCCGGGCTGTTTGTTTGCGCGCCTCAATCTATGACAACCAGGAGTCAAACTCTATGAATCACCCGGTGCTGCCGGAGCGATAAACCTCAGGCCGGCTCCTCCCCTCGCACACCGGCTTTTCGGACTCCAAGAGGGAGTGTTTGCTTAGCCGCCGGAGCTGGCGGTGGGGCCCTGGTTTTCTAGAACCCTGTATCCCTTCCTGCGCCTTGCCCTCGCTGGCTGGTCCGGGAAATGTGGCGAAGACTAAATTGTTTCAGTTCTTTTAGATATTAAGAGGAAGAGCGCATTTCTGCTGCAAAGCTGTGCTCTACTCTTGGTCTCCCTCCCCCCGCAACTCTACCCCCACCCCTCTTCCCCAGGCCCCGGTGTGAGGGTGTGCAGGGCCTTGGAAGGTCCAGGCAGTTGGGTGCCCACCCTGGAACGGCAAGCAGCGGGTCAGACCTTACTGACTTACTGAGACCAGTAAGTCACACTGACTGCGGTTTTCATTAACGAGGCAACTAATGCTGAAGTCAGTTTACGGGGAGGGGTCGCTCATTAGCGTCCGTGAAAAGCCAATTCAAGAGCCAGGGAAAGGTAGGTGTAGAGGAAATAGTCTCGGAGCCTGGGAAAAATGTGACCTCACGCAGACGCCTAGGATGAATTGTGGATCCACGAGACCGGCTCAATTCGCTTTCAAGCTCCGGGAACCATACAGAGACCTCTCCCAAGAGGCAACTCTCCCCACCCTCACGCCCGGCCCAGGCCGGGGGAAGTAGGTGCGTGGCCACGCCCTGAGAGTCGTTTAGAAAGAGGCCTGGACACCGCAGGGGCTGAGCCCCGGCCTCCGCCAGCCCTGAGCGGTAGATAGCAGAGGAAATGTAGGGCAGTTTTTCTGCAGACTGTTCACCCTATCTCACGCTGGAACACAATCTGCCTTCAAAACAAAGCAAGACCTTGGGGCGGATGACCTGGGCCTCTGGGTCCCCAGAATCCCTGGTAACATCCCTTTAGTGTCCTGAGACCTGTGCCTGGTCAGGGGACGGGAAGGCTGGAGGTGGAGATCGTGAGAGCCCCTCCCCCACTCTGGAGAGTCAGGTGGAGCTGGGGGCTATTGGACACAGCCAGGTGCAATGGCTAGAAGGGACGTTCTGTGGGAGGTGTTGTTGCTTTCCAAGACTTCAACTTCAGGGTCATCTGCGCCCCCAAATGCCCTTCACCCAATTTAATAATCCGCAGGCATATAAGCCTATGAATTCCTATTTTCACCAAAAAATACTTTGAGAAGTGGTCCCATGTGGGTACTGCTCACCCACTCTGCAGAGAGATCCTGGAGTAATGGACTGTGGAGGAGTCTGTCTCCCTCCCTCCCCTACTATGGTGCTGGAGTTCCTGTTGGCCATTCAAACTACCTTTGTTCATTGGAACACTTCCTTCTTTGTACTTCAAGAGTCTAAGGTACTGACCAGGCCCAGAGGTCGAGAGCAGCTCTGCCACCCACCAGCAGTATGACCTGGGCAAGTCGCTTCATCTCTCTGAGCCCCACTTTCCTATACTGTAAAAAGTTCATGACAACACCACCCCACATCTTGCTGTCACATCTGGATGGAGCTGTGTCTAAAATGTTCCTCACACAAGCCTGGCACTTAGAGATGCTCAGTGGTCAGCCTCTCCTTTCCTGGTCCACCCCCTCTGAACCTTACTCCTGTGAGTTAAAGACACCTAACAGTCTTTCACCCAAACTCTTGTAGAAGCTGCTTCTCTGACATTCTTCCAGTTCTGTTTTACCATTATCTGAACAGCCTTGCAATGCCATGCTCTGGGCCCTCGCCTGTGCTATTCCTTGTACCTCCAACATCCTGTCCTTCCCACCTTCCTTTCTCTGTCTGACCCAAATTTTTAAAAATCTGCCCTGCCTCAAGGCCCAGCTCCAATAGCCCTCCTCTGCGAAGCTTTCCTCACCTTCCCCAGAAAGAACGTTGTGAGCTGCCCTGTTGAGCCAGGGCCTGTTATGCATTTGTTTGTTTATCATTTATCCTAGTGTATCTTAATTAGCCTTCTGAAATGTTGTCTCCCAATGAGACTGTGCCCTTCTCAAGAGCAGGGGCCTGTCTCACTCATCTTGTTGTCCCCGGCATCTGGCACAGAACCTGGCACGTGGTAGATCCCTTGTTCTGTGGTCCGAACAATAGCAGCAGGAGGTGAGATCCTCCCTGGAGGGTAACCCCCTGCTGACCTTCCCCCTCACACCAAGGGCCTTGAAATGCCCGGCCCACTGGTGCCAGGCCCTCCTGGGAAGCAGGCAAGCCCCAATGCCTGCTGGAGAAGCCCACCTCCGCCAGGGCCAGCAACGCCCTGTGTTCAGAGTCCAGGGTAGGGGGCCTTGGCAACCCGGCTTGGGGCACTGGAGGAGGCTACCCCGGAGGGCCGGAGGTCAGTTTTGCTCCCTAGAAGGACTTCCCTTTTGCCTGCTGGAGTCCTGGATTGCAGTTTCAGCTTGCAGAATCTCTTTTGGGAGCCATTTCCTCCTCGGGAGAGTGGGAGGCCTGCTGCACCTTCCTAGGAGTTTGAGTGCCTGGCCTCAGTGGAGTGAGAACAGTCCCTTGCTGAGCTGAGGGTGGGGCCCTTGGCTCCCTGACAAGTAGGTGCCTGGAATCTTGTGCCCCACACCCGCTGGTAAACAGATTTTGCATTTGACCTCTTCTTGCTCCCGGGCCTTAACTGGTTACTGCCCGGGCTGCAGTGTCTGGCTGTCTCCTTTTCTCTTAGGCTCATAGGACTGCCTACTCGGAGCAGCAGGTACCGCCTGGTTTTCTGAAAGGACCCAGGTAACAAGGTGGCCCCTTAAGAAACAGGAAGCCAGGGGCCGGGGAGCAGGCGAGTTAAACGCTCCTTCACCACAACCAGCTGCCCATGGATGATCCCTTTGGAAAGGTACCTGGAAGGGGGCCTTGGGCAGAGCCAGCTGGAATGTCACCTGATGCTGAGCCCATCCACAGTGGCCACAAAATCTGCTTCTCCCTATCCTCACTCCTGTCCATGGCTCAGTGACCACTAATCAACGCCCTGTGGAAGGAGGGAACTGGATTTTCTGAGCTGCCCAGGTCTGGACAGCTTCCATCAACAGACTGAGTGACCCTAGGAACCAGAGTCAAAGCTGAGGGTCTAGGGATTCAGGCCACTCAACCTACCCACCGCTTCCAAAAACAAAACAGAAATGTGTACAGAGGCAGCGTTTAGTTCACCCTGCCTTCAGGAAGAGTCTCACCCCCGGTCTGAGAACATTCCAGGGGTGGGCGAACCCTCTACCTCCCCACAGTGGTTACACGACCCCAAACTGATGACCCCTACCTACAGGCTCCCCACCACACCTCCAGTCACTCTGCAGACCCCCATCCATTGTGCGACATTCCCTGACCTCACCCTGGCACTCCTTGCTCATAACACCTTCACTGGCTCCTGCCGCCTTTATGTGGAACACCAGGCTCCCTCACCCAGCTTTCAAGGGCTCTGCAGCCTGTACTCGACCTGGGCTCCAGCCTCCTCTCTCTCCTCTTCCCCACAGCAGATGGCCACTCCAGCCTGAGAGGTCAGCTCGAGTCCGGCCACTGGGCTTGCCTTCCTGTGGCTTCACT